TTTTTTAAGTTTTAGGGTATGACATGGTGAATTCGGTTTTCTGCTAACGCCATCCTAGAGTCAGCAACATAGAAGTCAAGAAGAGGATCTCATCACAGAAGGGCTGAGAAGATGTAAAGAAGACAGGCAGACTGTCACAGGAACAAAGTCCCCAGAGCAATAAGAAGCACGTTTCTACTCTGTAAGAGGACTCCTGTGACCTTGGTCGACCAGATCCACACCTGGGGTAAGCTGGGTGACAGACATGAGCGGAGCCCTGGGTGCTCCCAAGCACATCAGAACTCTGGCTCCCGACCCCTTGTCTGGGACATATCTCTATGCTGGCACCTCCACTGTGGCCCAGGTTCCAAACGAAAGCTTCTACAGTCTGTGCCCACAAGGCATTAACAGAACTCAGTTTACACTCGCGGGTAGCAGTGAGCCTGGGACCCCTAATCGAACCCAGTGAAGGCCCTGCCACAAAACCACTGGAAGAACAAAATAAATCTCTCCCCATTGCAAAGGCAAGCCAGAAGATCCTCACAAGACACGTGTCAGAGACTGAAGAATAACTTTCTAGGCATGTTTGAGACACAGTGGAAAGTGGGGGAGCTAGACAGGTATGGAGGAGCCCTTGGAGTCCCATCTGCCCACATTCATCAGGCTTCCCAAGCAAGGTGGGTCCCAATTCTGGCCCCTCGCCTCCCCTCTCACTTCCAAAGGGTCTGAAATACCCCTGGAGGAGATGTGACCGTGTATCATAGCATCTGCCAGGTCAGCCAGGACTCACTCCCATGCCCTCAGCCGCTGTGCCAGATGTCTGGGGGAGACCAGAGCTGAGCCCCCGAGAGGCACCTGGCCATGCAAAACCGGGGAAAGGATCACAACAAGGGTTTGGATGAAAACCCAAACTGTCTCTGCTACAGCGAAAAACTCTCCAGTGTCACACACACACACACACACACACACTAAGTGGGTCAATCCCCAAGCATACCTGGCTGAGGCCTCAAATCTCACCCAGCCCAGGCACGAGGGAGCTCCGGTTCACCAACATGCATCACTTTGGGAAAACAATTCTACTTCCATGATGGTGGGAAATCACGTTCCTTTCCTACTGATCCAAGAGCATTTCCTGTGGAGGCGAGCCCTGCTGTTCTGGGTCATGAAGAAGCCACTTGAACATACATGAAATACCTGCTCTAGAGCCCAGAACACTAGTTGCAGCACAGGGCAGGTGCTCAATAAACAAGTTTGCCATTCTTGTTGAGTGCTACTCCAAGGCTGGGTGTATCCTGAGGACAATCAGGGGAGACCAAGCTCTTGAATACTCATATCCTCCCAGAGGAGAAGAGCTGCCCATAGGAATCACTAGGATGTGAGACAGGAAGGGACTGAGACCCTGAGGAGGAGGCGTAGGAAAATGAAAGAGAGGTGATCAGGGCAGTCTTCCCGGAGACAGCATTTGCAGAAAAGTGAAGTTCTCGGCAGGGGTTGACAAGCCTCAGCCCCTGGGATAGCCAGACCCAGGCCACCACCTGCGTCTGTATGGCCCAAGAGGTAAGAATAGTTTTGTACTTTTGTAATGGTTACATTTTAAATGGTTATTTAAGTAATGACATAATATCCTCAATTTTGCTTCTTGGCCAATAAACCATATTTTTACGATCTGATCCTTTAAAAATGCCTGCCAAGTCCTCTCACTGAGGCACAAAAAAAACCCAGATGGCAAATAAAAGCCATCGCTAATGTTCACTGAGAGCTTGCTGTGGGCTGTGTGTGCTGTACCCTTCGGACACTATTGAAACTTCAAAATAATCCTCTAAAGGGATCTCTTCCCCACTCTTGCAGAGGAGGAAACTGAGTCACGGAGAACTGAGGAACTTGTCCAGAGTTGCACAGGCAGTGAGAGGAGAACCTGATCCAAAGCTGTCCTCTCAATCACCAACTGAGATGCCTGTCCAGTTCCCTTTGGAGAAAACACATAAGCCATGTGTTTCAGCACAGGACATGGTGTGAGAAAAGCCCGTCTGCCTTGGGGGAAAAGGAGGCAGGGGCCAGAAATGAGAAGCCAATAGAAACAAGCAAATTCTCTCAAGCCCTCAGCTCAGAACGGGCACCTTGGCACTCCACCTTACTCCAGCGGACGCAGCGAGGCATGGGCCGGCCCAAAGTCAAGGGCGCTCTCACCTTTTTTTTTTTTTTTTTAAAGATTTTTTATGTATTTGACACAGAGAGAGAGGGGGAGAGCCGGAGAGAGCAAGCACAAGCAGGGGGAGCAGCAAGCAGGGGAGAAGCAGGCGTCCCGCTGAGCAAGGAGCCCGATGTGGGGCTCGATCCCAGGCGCTCTCACCTTTTATGAAGGGAACTGAAAAGTCACACGGCAAAGGGCTGGACCCAAGGAGAGGTGAAGAACTAGAGCAATAATTCAACCAGCTGCGCCAATTATTTTAGGACAATATCCAAGATGCATTTTGGACACTTGCCCGAGTGGACGCTGCTCCTCAGCCCATGTACGTGTTCTCTCCGAGAGTCGCATCTGAGGCAAACTCGCGATGTCATCGCTCACATAAGGGGGGAGGGGTTAACATCTGTACCACCCACCACCTTGAAAATGAAGCGGGTCACATCTCCATCTGCCACCTTGCACATGATGTAGGTGGCATCTGTTTAACCCACCACCTGACCCCTTCATTCTGCCACCTCTCCAGCAAGGCCCCCCAGGGAGACCTGAGCAGAGACAGAGAGGAGGCTGAGCACAGGGTCCTGAGAGTGCCCGGCTAGCTCTGTGAGGCCCCGTTCCACCCCACGCCGTCCCCCAGGCGCCCCTGCCTGACCCCAGGCCAGCGTTCCTAACTGCTGTGTTCCCTGCCTCCACGACCACAGTCCTCTCTCTCTTCCATATTGCATATCACGGCCCCCCACAGCATCTCTCCCTCCCGCGTCATGCCCGATTCCTCAATCTTGTTTTAACAGAAGAGCAAGGTAAAGAAGTTTCATAGACCAGAGTCACTCGTCACGCACTCAATGAATCAGAGCCACAGTGACTGCTCGAGAGACCAGGGACCCCAACCCATCAGACAGAGCTCTGATGCCAAGGCCAGGGGAGCGACTCTGCGTGGGCTAGCGTGTGCGTGTGCATGCGTGTGTGTGTGTGTGTGTGTGTAAAGAAATAGGCCCTGAAAACTCTTTTTGAAAATGCCTTCCCGGGCGCCTGGGTGGCTCAGTCGTTAAGCGCCTGCCTTCGGCTCAGGTCATGATCCCAGGGTCCTGGGATCGAGTCCCACATCGTGCTCCCTGCTCGGCGGGAGGCCTGCTTCTCCCCCTCCCACTCCCCCTGCTTGTGTTCCTGCTCTCGCTCTCTCTCTCTCTCTGTCAAATAAGTAAATAAAATCTTTAAAAAAAAAAGAAAATGCCTTCCCAAATCTTAATAATTTCCAATTCTGGTAATGAATAACTAAAATAATTTGAACCAACCCTTGTGCTGAAGCTAAAAAAAAAGACCTAGACAAAATATTTTTTAAATGTTTAAAGCACTTAAAAATTAACAAGATAGTAAGGGACTCTGAGGCCCAAGTAGGATGGGAGCAAGAGCCCAGAGAGCGGAGGCCAGCACTGGGAGCTGCCTTGCCCTGGGGCATCTGAGATCCTGAAGGAACAGCTGGTGTTCAGATCAGCCTGCTGGGACAAGGGAACGGAAGTCATGCCCAAGGCCCACCCCAGGTGGGAGTCTTATTACCACCCATCTCGCTGAGACCCCAAAGGTCACCAGGGTTCATCAGGGTGAATAAGCAGAGGCACAGCCCCGCATCACACGTGTCCTCAATAACCCCTCTTCCCCGCCCAAAACGCTGGGTCCTCCCGATGGCCATGGGTACCCTACAGAAATGCCGCATTAAGATGGAATAGAATGCTCATTTGTGAAGTGATTGCAGAAGGTCCCTGCTGCTGAATTTCTGTTTTTATTTAAGGATGCACCGTTAGTCATACCTATGATGGCTTTGGTGGCGCGTTTCTGCCTAAGGGAACACGCCATTCCCTCTCTGACAATCGACACTGTGACACGGTGTCCAGGCTCACACAGCAGCTGACCACGGACCCTGCCTCCGTAAATGCAAATTTGTGAAACGCTGTGTTTATTTAAGCCGCTATACTGCTGAGCAGGAAGCCTAGAGCCAGAAAAGCTTGGGTTCAAATCCCTGTTTTGCCACTTAGAGGCTCCATAGCCACAGGCAAACGGCACGTACTACCAAGTCTCGTCTTCCTTAGCCATACAATATGGATAATGGGGACGATGACACCACAGACAGGCATGGGGAGATACCAAACGGGAGGCCCAGGGCCCAGCCTTCAGCTATGGAGAGCTGAGGCACTTAGGAAACTATTAGCATTAGCCGAAGTGTGATTCCGGATACCCAAGCTTATGATAGACACAATAATTGTAATGCTGGTAGCCAGTCATAGTAAGAGCTATTGCAAATGGGCTAGAGTTGGCCCAGGAGTCTAGAAGTAATGGCTTCGACCATCCTAAGGTAAGTAATTAAAAGACTAATATTTTTACAAGGGAGTAAGACCCCAAGACTAGCATCACGGGGCTTGTAAATAGAAGACTTGCTCTCTGACTCCAGAGGCCGCCGGGGTCTGGTTGGGAGATAAGAAATGCACACGCAATGTACATGGGCAGTTGGGAGGCCCCACAAGAAAGGAAATGAGATCCTAGTGGGGTCGGAGGCGGGGAAGCGGAAGGGGCCGGGAAGGCAACCCAGGGCTCCGGGAGATTCAGAAATGACTTCAGTTGAGCCAATGGGGAAAAGGTGGCTGTGGATTACTGTGCACTGTGGGGGAGAGGGCAGCTCGGAAAGTTTGCACCCCCAAACGATAAAGGCAAAGGAGAGGCAGGAGAGGCCAGCGGCCGCCCCAGGCAGCCCCAGGGGGATCTGCAGCTGGTATCTGCTCCAGGGGCCTCCACCCTCCCTGGGCCGGCGAGGGAACCAGCAGGAGGGTCTCTGCAGAGCCTCACTTACCCTTGCTGACATCACCACGGGCCACGGGAACGCTGTGATCACCGCTGGCAGCCTTCTCAGAGCTCTTAGTCCTCACGCCTTTTCTGTTGCTATTTTTACCTAAAAAGAAGGACAGAGAGGAATGCCTTTACTTCCACATATGCCAGAGCCCTCCCAGGACGGTGAAGCTCCACTATCTTCTGCAAAGCAATGTCTGCCCCCTCTGTGTCCCCTGTCCCCGGTTGATGGCACCCTGGACTCTGAGGTGCTTGCCAGAGGTTATAGGAGATGCAGCTTCTGATTGTGAACACCCAGGGAAATAAACACTCCTTCAGAGAGGGAGATAAACCTAAGAGACTCTTCACCGTAGGAAACAAACTGAGGGTCGAGGAAGGGGACGTGGCGGGGGGAGGGGGTAACTGGGTGATGGGCATTAAGGACGGCACGTGATGTAATGAGCACTGGGTGTTATATGCAGCTGATGAATTACTGAACTCTACCTCTGAAACTAGTAATACACAATATATGTTAATTAATTGAAATGAAGTAAAATTAAAATAAATTTTAAGAAAGAAAGAAAGAAATACTCTTAATAAAGACAATGTATACTTGTCGGTCGTCACTATTCTAAGACTGCAAGAATACCTTGTGGTAGTACTTTGACCGCTCTGGGGCCCAGAGTGACACCACACCTAACTGATAACACGGAGCTGGAACTCCAGACTTCTGACCCCAGAGCTAGCGTTTCCCACCATGCTGGGCTCCTCCTTCCAATTCTCTCCAAAGGCCCTGGCTGGGTACCTGGGGGTGGGAGGCGGGGGTGATGCTCCCACCAATAGCAGAGATCCTTTCCAGGGCCTAGGAAGGCTACCTGCTCATGCCCCTGGCCCCTTCAGCTTCCTCTCACACTGAGCTCCCTCTCTCTACTCCTGAAACACCAGCCTCTTTGCAGCCTTCAGCTCATGTGCTGTTCCCTCCTCCTGGAGCACCCTTCCATTCATCTCTGTCTAATTGACTCCTGCTAATTTTGCAAATCTCAGCTCTGGCATCTCCTCTTTTGGCTCTCCTGAACTCCCCACCTAAATCAATGCCTCCTTTGGTGGACTCTGATAGCACCTGTCTTAGGTCGAGTTGCCTTTAAGCAGAGCTTGATGTAGAGGTTCAGCTGGACATGATACACTGGGGGAGGGTTCTAAAGGGAAAGGGGAGGGAGCAGGATGGGGCAGAGGAAGGAGCTAAGTAAGGCTGTCCTCCCCCTCAGCCAGAGGCTGACTCAGCCTGATCCCACGGGGAGCTCTGCAGTGGGAACCACACACAGCATTGTCCCCACCTTGAGACCAGAAGCCACCTTTTCTACTGCTGGTTAGCCTCTGCCTACAGATGGACCAACTGGGGCATGAGAACCAGGCTTCCAGGGGCAATGCTCCAGGGAAAGGATGGGCTATGAGCCATCACAGTCAAGACCCCAGCGGCTGGGATAGGGGTGCACCTGCAGGAAAAGGGCTCCTACTGCAGGTGCACCCACCTGTGCTGAGCAGCACGTAACATAGGCCGGTCTGTTCGTGAGGGCCGGCACTGTGTCTGGTTTTGCTTACTGCTCTGTCTCTGGAGTCTGGTGCAGAATGAGCTGTGATGAATGAGTGAATGGACATACTAATGAGTCACTGAATGACAAACAGACAAAAATAAGAGGAGGGGCAGGAGAAGGATACTTAGCTTGGACTTTAAAGAGCAAGTCGAAATACCAAAAACATTTAGTGGACTGTGTGCCAATTAATGAATCATTTCAGTCTGTTCTACGGTCTTCCCCCCCTCCCCGCCCAAAAAAAAGATACTTATCAAGAAAACCTTTAATCTTCAAAAAATTCAAAGCCACGTGGGGTCCAGCCAAGAGTAATGCTCTCTCCATCAACTTCTGGGGCGATGCCTGCTGGGAGTATCATTCAGTTTTCATGTCAGTGTCCCCCTCAGGTCCAGAAAGTCAAAACATCAGAATGTTCAGAAAGGCCAGAGGAAGAGAGCTGACCCAGAGGACCCAGGAGCACCTGACATCAGCCTGGTGTCACCTCAGCATCAGTCCCACTTCTGTGGGTCAGAATGTCATGGCCAGTGATCTCCAAAGACGGCCCCTTCTGAAGGGGCCTGACTAGGGGTCTGCAAAGACCTTGATTGGTCAGAAAAACTGGTGACATCACTTTTAAGAGTGTGGAGTCTGATTTGGCAGAAAGATAAGATGTTAAGGGGGAATAAAGTTTTACAAAACATGTAAGGAAAAAGCCAAAGTTCTGGAAAAGAATGTTCTATCCCAACCCTCCCCAGAAGTTGGCCATTGGTTGCAAGCCTTCTGTCTCCCAGGGCAACCTCTCTGGGGCCTCCATGACAACACAGGAGAAGAGTCAAAGAGCATGGCCTGGTGACACCCTCAGCCTCACCCCCCTGTGTGCCGGATCCACACCCGTGACGCATACGCCCCCACGCAGCTCTGGGCAGCCGACAAAGGCCCAGATGCAGATGCGGGGCAGATGTCAAAGCTCTGAGAGTCTGACTCCCCAGGGGACCGGCATGTGGGCAACAGAATCCCCCGAGGGGGTGGCAAAGGAGCAGAGACCACAGGCGGGGCCCTTCCACCTCCTCCAGGGGGCGCCCTTCCAGCTCATCGCGGGGGGGCGGGGGGGGGGCCGGATCTGGTCCCAGCCACAGCAAGGACCACGGGCGTGCCTTCGGGTGACCCACGTCACCTCCCGAGGAGCCATTCCCTCATCAACAAGACAAGCACCTGCTCCCGTGGAAGCTATGGGGAGGAAACAAACAATACATGTCAAGCGCCTCGGGCCGCGTCGGGCCTGCAGCAACCACCCAACAGAAGACAGAGGCTGTCCTTCCATCCCGGATTCGTCATCAAGCCCCCAAGTGGCACAAAGTGCCATCCCAGCTGCTGAAGAATCACGGCTCACCCGCGGGGCCTGATTCACAGTCTGCAAGGCGGCACCTTCACGGGGATGACGACACTGGACCTCGGCAAGTTCCCACTGAGGGCAGGAAGCTTGCAATGAACGTGACTTTACAGACAGGGACACAGGGGTACAGAGGGGGGAAGAGACCCACCCAAGGGTCGGCCACAGAGCCAGGAGGCGGCAGAGCGGAGAGCGGACTCCAGGGCGAGGCCCTGCCCAGGCCTGTCCTCTCTCTCGCTGCAAGAAAGGCAGCTCACGGTCGGCAGGGATGAAAGACAAGCGTTCAGTGCAAGAAGTGTGCAGAGAAAGAAATCAACAACTCCATCTGGGCCGCGTGACAAAACCAAATTCCTTAAAAGTAGCAAGCGAGGTGCCGATGCGGGCCACATGTTCTATTCTGGGCGATGGTGATAAACATCATGCTTCTGGGTTGACAGGAAACTATTTTTTCCCCTCTCTGTACAAGGAGCTTACAGTAGCAACCCCACCCCCCCCCGAAACCAAAAAAATTCTTTGCTGCATATTTGCATTTTCCCCAGGAAATTCCAGCCCCACAGCATCTGCTCTCTCTCTCTCTCTCTCTCTCTCTGCTGAGGGAGTCAGCCCAGGGCCCTAGGCTCCCCTCCTGCCTCGTGCTAAGGAACCCACAGGACAGGAAAGGCCTCGCCCGAGGGGCGCTGCCCAGGAGTGCCGGGTCTCACAGGCCAGCAATCACAGCTTTCTAAAGCACTGCAACACAGGCAGGTCTGCAGAGAACCCTCTGGAGCGAGGGCCAGCAGGACTGCGCAGGTGTGGTTGGAAACGCGTGCTCCGTGTGGCTGTTAGCAGGCCAAGGGCCCTGACGCAGGGAGGTATCCAGTTCTGAGAAAGGCAGGCTACCGGTGGAAACAGCAACTGGGGGAGCGGGTAGATCCTGAAAGGCAGGCTGAGTGGTTGAACGAGACGCTTACCTCCGTTCATCGGTGACCTTGAAGGTCTGGGGTGGAGATGGGGGCACGAGGGCAGTGTTCTCAGTACTTTTTGACCAGGGCCAGGCCAAAATCAACCCATCAACCAATCAGTCTAAAGCTTTCCCCTCCCCGCCTGGCTGTGTCTTCCCTGGGAAACTAGGTGGCCATCCTCTGTTCTTATGGGCCAGCCTTTTGTGTAGACTTGGGTCTCCCTCAGGGCCCGAGGGAGATGCTCTATGCAGCAGCGGACACCTTCCTGACTTGCAACCAAATAAGAAGCCCTTTGCTTTTCTAGAGCCAGCACAGTTAAGAGCAGCAGGTGCAGACTCAGGGGGCGCTGGGTAGGGCACCGGGCGCACTGGCCTGTCTCAGTCTGGCTTCCATCCGGAAAGAGCCCGAGATGCAGCCTTCCTTAGGTGCAGACGTGCATCTGGGAAGGGACTTCATGAAGTTCAAGTAAAGAAGTGGAAGGAGAAAGACCTGGAGAAGGAAACTCCAGTAACTCAGGCTGTGTGCAGAGCAGGACCCATGAGGACTCAACCAGGCTGGGGACTCTTGGGAAGAGGGTAGAAGGTGCCCCCGAACCATGTCCCAGCACGGGAGGCTGGAAGTTGACCCGTCATACCTCTGGAAGCATGGCTTTATCATCCTTGCCGTGTCATGGTGAGGAAGCCAAGGCTTGGAGAAGTCACCCATGCCTGTGAGCGGCAGAGCCAGATTCTGGTCCCAGCTCTCTCTGAACCCTGAACAAACTGCCAAACAACCACACGTGGTTTGCATGATCGAGCATTCCATAAAAATCTGGGACAGTGGAGTCTTAAATTAACACTCTGGAGGTGTTTTGTGCCCCTCCAACCATTCTATGATGCCTGGATGAGTAGCCAACTGGATGCCAGCCGGTTACGGACACCAGCCCTTCCCCCTGGCCAAGATACCCTAATTTCATGGGTCTTGTGATTGAAGAGTGGCAGCATGGTGGCAGGGACCTCAAAAGGCCACAGAGGGCAGAGCCATTGCTGGAGATGCCAAGCCTGAGTACTCAGGCTCCCTGGCCCCATTATGGATATTGAAAGAGAGCCTCACCTCCACACTCCCACCTCCAGGGGCCCTGGCTACCCTTGGCCCGGCACTGAAGGCACCATCTGCCATGAGATCTGCCAGCCATGGACACCTGAGGCCCATGGAAAACATGATGGCCAGTTTTAAGAACCACAGC